CCACTCTAAACTTAAAAAACAAAACTTGAACGCCTACGAAAGAGAAAACAATCGGCGACAAATCGTTAAAAACAATCACTGGGCTTAACTCTTTGTCAACGAGATTATGCAACCGTCACGGAAGAACGGTGCCGAGGTAATCCTTCGCGTGATATCCATACTTAACAACAAGCGTACTTAACACCGTTCAATTAACTTCTCGCACTTGTGTCACTGTTCAAACGAAAATAACAGCGTAACACACATTCGCTTGACTCATCTCTCAAGGATGAAGTTCGAACGACCCGATTCCCAAATCGTTCGTTCAAGCCGGTTTTCCGATGGAGAAGCTTTCCATTCCCCGTTTCGAACCACGGTTACTAACGTTTAAAGACTTAATAGATTACGTACGTATATATAACACGGCCGCTACGAATCTCACCGTTGCGATTACTGTACAAACTCCTCGACTAAGTAATAATGATAATTATATTTAGTACGCGTTACGTATATGTATTCTCTAATTTGTCGGACGTATCGGCGCCGCCACTCCCGCCGACCAAGTCGGCCGCGTCACTTACTTAATTAGTCGCCGCGAAAAAATAATCAACGGACCTCGAACGTCTCGACATCCGGAAAGAACCGAGAGAACTACGCCTACGCAAATAATAAAAATAGTGTGACCGGCGACTGCTACCGTGTCGTCGATAATAATATTAATAATTCGTAAACAGAGTCACGTGTAAAGCTTTTCTACAAATTAGTTACACCGATTCTCGGGACCGCGTCACTTCCCATACTCTTCTCACCTTTCTTGTAAAAAAATTCCTTCCCAATTCCCTTCTTCAATTTTTTTTTTTTTTTTGTTACGTATACATTGAGCCGAAGAAGATTCGGGCGCGATCGCGCTATCATTTCCACTCTGAACGGAAACCACATTTGGGGAGCACAGATCGATTCGAAACAATCGCGGCCGCCCGTTTATCGTCTAACGCTCCATTAAAATGAGATTACCGGAACCGATGTACGACTTTTATGCATGCACGTTTTCCCTCTTCCGTTTTTGTAAAGCGCGCCAATCCCCCGAAGAAGATGCAATTGTTCCCTGTCAGAAAATTAATCACCCTTTCTCATCTAAACCAGTATCAGAATTTATTTTACAGGAAAGAACTAAATTGTTGAAGTTCAAGGCTAGAAGAGAAAGCCAATGAAATGAATAATTCATAGTCTAAAAGCGATAGTTCCACGAACTTGATCCCATAAATGAATGTTCACATTGAAATTGATTCTTGCAAGAATTAATTAACGTGGTCACCGTGACGGTATTAATTAAAAACCACTGACAACTGCACTTTCTTCTGAGAATCCCTCGAAACACGTCCCTATCGTACCTTATTATCATAATTAATGTTCTACGCCGTTCGTGTATACGCAATATTCTTTTCTTTCTCGTCTATCCATCTCGTTACACGTTAAGACTTCGTTACGATTACGGTACGCGGAGGTACATTGGCTATGTGGGGGTGAGTGAGGGGGAGGCGCGGATGGGTGGTTCGAGGTTGAAAGGGTTAAGGAGACAGCTTACGTGAGTACATCTCGCATGCTCGGCTTAAACGTACGGCGAAACTTACGTGTAACAGTACTTTAGGTAATTAGTAGTACAGTATTTAATATGAATACGGTTTATCCACTCACTCATTCTTTTGCTCGGTACGTATTACTTTTTCTCTAAAAACGAATGCTATCCTGCCTTCATCACGGACGTCTATTTTTGTTCACTATCTTTTAAATAGTAGCTGCTCTAAGTCGGCTTAGAAACCTTCGATTTTCTTTTATCTTCCTTAAAACAAACTATTATTATTCTGTTTTTGTCATTTCCACTTTTTTTTTCTATTAATCGTTTCGCTTTTGCGTGTACTTTTCGTTACGTTACGTACGTCATACGTACCCTAATTCTTTATACGATACTACTATCAAAATTCTTTTCTGTTTGTTTGTCCTTAGAGCACGGTAAAACAGATTTTTCATTTGTTCATATACATATATATTTATATATATATATATAATATACTCGTTATTTTTAGTAATATATAATACGGTACTGTGTACACTATGATTTTACATTGTAAGTAGAAGATAGTCATTGGACGATTCGTACAACAGATTTCCCTTTTACTAGAAAATTCACCGGTTCTACGTTTACGTATTATGGATTTCTTTATAACGAGTCGTCACCCCTCTTTTCTGTAACTCATTAATACGAGCTATGAATTCCGATGAAACTTAAAAACCTCGAGCGATGAATAAGAAATGCTAGACATTAAAATTAGTCACGTACGTAAAATTGAAAAAAGACTCAATTTGTGGAGATTAATGTACGAATAAATGAATAGATTGAACACTGGGATCGAAGGACAGGAATTCTTTGCACGAATCGCATTCAACGGGCAGGAGAAAAAAATAATTAGAGGTAATAATTTATATAATCTGAAGTTTCTGCGTCTCTCTCTCGCCCTTTCACACATTTTTCCCTTTCGTTCTGTAGCTTTCACTCCCTCCCTTTCTCGCTCTCGGGTTTTCTTCGTCGTTACGAACTCTCTACGTAAGTAAATAGCAACAACGGCTTCTATAATCTATGGAAAAAGGTCTACCCTGACACCAAATTACGTATTTAATGTACTATAAGAGTGAAATTTCCTTGTCCGGTGATGCGTCTCTGTCTTGCGTGTGACGGTCTCCGTTTCTACACGTTCGTTCTCTCTTTTCATTTCGATCGCGTCTTTTGTCTGTTTTCTACCGTGCGCGGTTTATTACAAAAATGTTTGGGAACACGTTCTGCTAATGTTAAATGACTCTGATGCGAAAACATTGTATATAAAATGCAAAACGAACGATCCTGAAGATGTCGATAAAACTATGATAACGCTACGTAAAATTAACAGACGAAAAATTAACAAGTGAGCGAATAACGTTATTTTTAAGGAAAAGAAAATACGAAGGAAAACACAAACCTAATTGAACAATAGACTTTTCTCATAACTCCGCGGGCGACGATCGTGGATCGTCTTTATCCGGCGACTAAACTTAAACAAAAAGAAGGAAGGACAGACGTCCTCGCAATAGCGTTTACGATAAATTATCTTAGATAATATGGAAAACGTGCCGCGTTCGTACAAATTATCTCGTTATTAGTAAAAGCCTTAGCGATATCCTCGTGTGAGATCTCTAAACGGAAGCGATAAATGAACTTGGTGATCGTCGACGAGTCAAGTCCTCTATCCGAAATTGTCCCGATTTCTCAATTCTCAATGCGATTACGATCGCAAACTGGTAGAGAGATCAAAAATACGCGAAGAAGAATAATGACCCTAATTAATTTCAGTGACGGTTCATCGTTTACTGACCTTTCAGCATTCGGGATGCCAATATCGAAGTGATTAAGAAGTTCTATTTATTTTTTGCAATTCTGTTCACTGGAGCAACGATGCTTTACACGTCGATTTCCAAACGAGCATAGACGATGTGGTTCAGACGTATTACTATAAAGGATTTTTGCGTTTGATCGTCTGGTTACGGACGTCAGAGACGACAAAAATATTCTCGCGAGCAAACGTTAATTCGACTAATTACAACGCGCGAGTATCTCGCGGAGGGTAATCGCCGAGCGTAAACCACGGTTAATTAATTCCGGAAAAGAAGCTTGGCCATTTCGATTTGTACTATTAAATTTCTCTATCGCGGGAAAGAACTCGGCCAGCGATACGAAACTGCTTGGGCGTACATTTTCAACCCACCGGTTCTCCCATGACGATCGGTTTCAAGCTGGTATTCGAGGTATCCAAAGTCTCGCTGCGTTTCAACGGCTCGTTCCGTTCGCAATCTTCCCACCACTCCACTCACGCGAGACTAATCGAGGGACAACCGATTAGAACCGATCGTTCCCATGTATAAACCAATTTCTTCTAGCAAATCTTTATAGTTTTCATGTAGATAATCTTCGGTAATGGAAAAAATTGATCTTCGTCGGATAGACGAAGGGAGCAGATGGGATGTGGAATAATGGATTGAAGGTTTTTCAAGATCAGGCCCGTGTCCTCGTTTTTCCGCACCATCTCGATCGTTCACCTCAATTAGACGAATTCTTCCTCGAGTCTGTTAATTGCTCCCTACTACCAGTTCTCCTTGGGTATTAATTGATCGTCCCGTCGGCTGCTCCTTCGGCAACGCTTCCGCGTTAATCTTTTCGCTCCAGCTCGTTTAAACTAATTCTAGGATCCCGACGCGCGCGATCGTTGGCTTCCACATCTGTGTGATGCGTGTACTTGTATATCTGGCAGTTACCGCGCCAAATTAATTATCACCACCGTTGTCATCGTCGTCGTTATTCCATCTTTATCAACCGCGATGACTCGTCGCGCCCGATTAGCAATTTATTACATTATTATAGGTACGCTCTAGGAATCAGTCACAGGCTAGGTCGTCCAGTATTGGCCCAGCCAAATAAGTACGTACGTGTTTTATTTTATCCCCGTTTCGATATTCTCCGTTATCGAGAGTACGTTTCACTCTTCGTTCCCCTCTTCTTCCGCGGAAGAACACGTCCGTTACACCTTATCGACGTCGAAGAAGGACTGTGGTCCTCCTCTCTCCCTTTCTTCTCCGGGACCGAGCAGTGAGAAGAAAGAGAACAGAGAGATATTCTTTCGTCCGCCTATCTCGTATGTCTTGGAAGAGGGAGACAGTGTTGCACGTGGAAGAAAGAGGAACATCTTCCAGTCGATAGTCGTATGTCGTTTGCGTGAGGTATCTTCGCGGGAAGAGTGCGAAGAAGAAGGAGAACGCGCTCGATCGCGTTTGTTCGTCGTTACGTATTGTTTAAATCCTCTTGCAAGGTCTCCTCCGTTACGCGTCGGCCGACCTTCTTACCAACTACTTCGTTTCGATGTCTTCGTCTAGTACGCTTCGTCCAGTCTCTTGTTGCATCTTCTTTAAAAGAAAGACAAGCGGCTTAGGAAATGCTCCTATGTGGGCACCTTACTGACCGCCTTCAGAAGATCGCTCTGCGTCTTGTCCAGTCCGCTTACATGATGCTGTTGCTGATGCTGCATCGCCGCGTTCTGCTGCTCCTGCTGCATCTTCGCCTGCTTCTCCACCTGCTGCTTCTTCATCATGTCCTGCTCCTCCCGCTCCCGCCTCGCCTGCTCGTTTATCTCCTTCACCGCCCTCAGCTCCTTCTTCAGCTTCATCCGCCGGTTCTGGAACCATATCTTGATCTGCCGTTCCGTGAGACAAAGAGCGTGCGCGATCTCTATTCGCCGCCGTCGCGTCAAATAGTGGTTGAAGTGGAACTCCTTCTCGAGTTCGAGCGTTTGGAACCGCGTGTACGTTTGCCTGCCCCTGCGCCTCGGGCACCCGTTCGGTCCTGGAAACGTCAGAAACGCAGATTTGCCTAGGTTAGTTTTTTCGTGAAGCACGAATTATGCCTTTCAACCCTTTGCACTGCCACGGTCAACTTCTATGCTTACCTGCTTCTCCTAATTCCAACGCGAGCAAATTCATTAAATGTTTTGGTATCGAATACGAACGGAACAAGTTGACCATTGACTTACCGTGTAAGTGATTAAGAAGTGCAAAGGGTTGGCTGAGCAAATGATATTCAAATAGCGGCATACGTTTGAAAATAAAGAAGATTCCTTCGCGGTAGAGACCGATCTTGAAGACGAGTTTCGTTTATTCTCTCGACCGCGTAATCCCCGAGCGATTATCGTCACAGCCAGTCGTTAAATATTAATTAAAATCGCACCGGTTTTATTAATTTTATCGCTCGGGAATCATCGCGCAATTAAACTGTCGACTATTTCATGCTCCACGCTAATTTAATGACTGCCCGACAAAAAAAGGCTACGCTCTCGATTGCGTAAACGTCAATTTTCCTCGAGTCAGGCCACAAATCTTTAACTCTCTCCTCGCTTTCTCTTTTGGGAAAGAAAAAAACGTTTCTTATTGCAGGGGTTGAACGAGGTAAAGAAGGGACGCGGTAGAAAAAAAGCATAGTAGAAAGTTTCGGAAAAGTCATTGTCGGTCGAAGAAAGGAGGCCCGAACCCTTTTTCCGTTGGCCAACTTTCTCCGAGGGCCCGGAGTCGAAGTCGTAAAACGGGGTACGCGCAGGGCAGTGCATTTTTTATGGTGTTTGAGCAGCTATCGAACCCGCGTTGCTGACCAGGTAAAGACCGGTCAGCTTGTCACGCGACCGTCTACATACCTGAAACTCGCCTACCTAGCTGGTTTCAACGTTATCTTCAAAGCATTGATGTAATTGCAAAACCCGGCTTTAATTTTCCCATTTCCCGTGGTCGAGCAATTATTAAGAGATCGTTTCAAAGGAGATATCTCCATCGAGACTTTTCAATTTTCTGCGGATAAGATATTTAGTTGTGCCGAGGATGCGAAGGCGTATGGAGAATTTAATCGAAATTTAAATTTTCAAAAGCGATATACCCGCGGAGCGTGTAGCGCGAGGAGGCGAAATGGTCGCGGGTTGCGCCATGCCATGAATGCGGCTGCCGCTCGATAAACTCCTCACCGGCAATTTTCGCAATTGGGCTCGAACGTAATTTTACTTTCGGCACGGAAGGGTGGGCTCTGTTCCGCCGGGTAGGAAACCGGTTCCGAACGGGGCAAAGCGCAATGAGTGCGGTCAGCCATAATACCATCATTCTCGGGAAGACGTCGAATAGCCATATTATTGCCTCGTGATGAAACAAATACGCGCTACCGACCAATAAAAGATAGCCAGATTTTCGATGCAGCGATCTGCCGAACGACTCCACAAAAAGAGGAAGGAGCGAACGATCCTTCCGAGAAGAAAATCCATTTGTCTACATGGAAATAAAGATGAACGGCTTTCCACGAAATTTCCGCGGACGATGACATCGTCATCCTTCAAATCTGAAGAGAAAAAAAGACGCGGAATGCGGGGAATGCTGATATTGAATTCAACATGGCCGTTCGCAGGACCTGGGTCCAGGATTCGCTGAGTTCGTGCGCGCACACGTTCCCCAACTCCCGTCTGTGTTTTCCCTATCAGTGTGTCGGAATCAGTACAGTGAGAATCAAAAGTAAAGAAGTATCTCGCAATTTCTAAGCTGTGCGAAATTCATTGTTTGCTCTGTATAATATTTTGCTATCAATTTTTCGAATAGATCTGTACAGATAAAATCCGTTCAATAAACGGCTCAACTCTCATTCGCTGAATATGGAATGAATTCGGTTTTTTGGCACGATTGTACGCGGCGAGTTTAGCCGGTGCAGCCACAGGGTGGTTGAGCCTCGGCTGGGAAGGGTGGGCCATAGGTTACCTTGGCAACCGGAGGGAAAACCATTCCATCCTGCTGGCGGCATATCACGCCAGGGGCGAGTCAAGCAGCCAGAAAACCCTTCGTTGCATCCTCCCTTCCTCCACCGGAGGAAGAAGGGAGGGCGCCCTCCACGACTCGGTCCCTCTTTTCCTGTGAACTCGATTGCTGTCGCGCACCCTTCGTCATAAATATTCGCGGGAACCATCGGTGTCGAGCGCCGCCGCGAACATTATCAACAATTTTGCTGGATCAAGCTAATGACCTTGTAGAATTTATAGATAACCGTTTTTTGCCGCCCCTCCGAAGGAGCTGGTCAGGCCGGAATTTCGGACGAGGTTGACAGCTGGGCACGAACCTCGTTTACCCTGGGGACCGCTTAATTCATATACTCTCCACGATGCCAATAAAAAACTGCGACACTTTCGCAGTTCGCAACGAAACTTTTGTTATTGTTCCTCGTCTCGTTTTGGTCTCTTCAAGAATTGTCCTGCATTATTGATACAATTTTTCTGTAGAATCGCAACGAGAGAGAACATGTTCGAGAAAGAAATCTACCAGACTGTCGGATATTTTCAAGCGACGATAACCTCCCAATCGAAAATCGGCGATAACCTCGCGCGATTAATAAGGTGACGAAAGACGCGTGTAATACGTATGCGTCTGCATCGGCCCTCGCGTTCGACAGATAACCCCTTTCTTGGACGACCATTTTCCTCACTTTTACGATCGACCGCTGTTTGATAAATAGCCTGATAACCGTAATTTACACTTATAATTGATAATTGATTACCCATAAATCAGAAACTTCAAAACAACCACGCAATTTTATATTAAAACTTAGACGAGTTATAGGAATGTTCTTCCGTTTAGACTTCGCATTTCTCATGAACGTTTCTAAACGTTCGAAATTAAAAATGATTAAACAACCTTTTATGAGTTTCTACTAGTCAGCATCGGCTCGCGGATGATTCTAGAGTTACGACTTCATATTGGAAGAGGGCAAGTGTACACGACGCGGAGGGCGAGACGAGGGTGAAGGCCTGCGCCTAATTGCGGCTATATATTAAGTTTAATACCTGCTCTCGGTTTCGTCGAGCAGACGGGGGAAATTACCGAAGTTTTGCCCCGACGCGACTGCGTCGTCTCTCCCTTGCGATCGAATCGCCCCTCCATATTTTCTCTATACAGATTCTATCAACCCCGCCGATTCAAGTTCGCGAATTTAAACGAAATCTGCAAAATCGAACTTCAAACGCCTGAAAGAAGCTCGCCCTCTCGACCACTCGAGGCTCGAGGGGGTCGGAGACTGAAACGGGGGCGGATTCTCCGGAACTTGGGTTTATACACGCGGAAGATGGATTCGCTAATGGAGAGCTGGTAATTTAAAAGCTCTTCTCTTATATACCAGAAACTCCGTGTTTTCTCCAAGAATTTCCAGCTCTAGAAATGCAGGTACCTAGTATATTTCTGAAACGTATTTTATCAGCTGATCATTTATTCTGACAAAAAATTTAGATTCAAGTTATGCAAGCGTACGCGATAAAAAAGTGCTAGATTATTTATAAGAAAATCGTACACAGAATTAGCAGATAAATAGTTATTGCCTATTTATATATTCGTAACCTTTAATTACTTTTCGATGTTCGTGTGCTTGAGAAAAAAATTTCATAAGGAATAAGATGATAAATGCAGAAAAATTCGCACTAATCTTATCCACCTATGTAATTTCCTGCATGTTAACGTATCGTCGGCCTTCGATCTTTTTATGCTTATTCGTGATAACCGGAGCTGTTATAAATCGTTTCTACGCCAGTTAACGTCAAGATCAGTTACAGGATATCACCGCCCTCAAGAGCTTCCGATATCGAGATCACGAAAAACGATCCTCGACCAGCAATACTTGTCAGTCCTCATATTTTTATTCGCAGTGAAAGTCATGGAAACGAAGCTTACGAAAGTCCACTAAATACCCGCGGGAATAGCTCGTGTTTCGACGCCGCAAACGCAGCAGTTGCTCAAGCATCGTACAGAAATCGCCTTGTGCACGAGAGAATTTGCAATCACAGAGAGAAAGGTGCGCGTCGATAATGAAAAATAGCGCTGCTTCTGTGTTACTCGATAACATTCTCGAGTCGAGAAAGGAAAAAATGACTCACATTGGAAATGGAATAATGAATTGCATTTCGACGCATGCTAATTCTATAGCGGCTCGAGTAAACGGTTAAAAGTAAGGTCGGAGTCGGAAAATCGCGACGAGGGGTAAAAATACGGGAATTTCATTGCGTAGCGAAACGAGTGGGCAGAATACCGCAAGAGCGACGACACCAATAGAGGGCCAGGTCGTCGTAAATCGTCGAAGGGGTGATTAAACGTCAGCCGTTCTCCTCTCCGTGCGGTTTCGCTTCTTTCCGTCGTGAAAACGCGCGCTCGAAAACAATAACCGCGCGGCTTTAACAGCCATTTTAAGTCGCTCCATCGACGCTGCCACGCTGTTATCTGGCCACGCCGTTTCACGGTTATCGGACGGCCAAACGCTTTTTCACCGTACACGAGTATCGCTATTGTCTCGTCTATGTACAATTTCCGCCTCTCGCGTTTTCTCCCAGATCGTATCGTTCCCCGGTAGCTGAATCACTGTCACCGTGAATTTTCATTTGAAAACACTGAACGTCAATTATAAAAAATGATATTGCAATCCAGTTGCAACGATCGCATTCGAATGTATCTTATCACCCATTATCGTCACGTTTATGTGCTCCTCGGGCGGAGAGGAATAAAACGGGAACGACGCGCGAACCGGCGCTTGTATAACGTAAAACGATTAATATATAATGTCGGGGGGACATTGTACGCGGTTTACGTCCACTTTGACCGGAAATAGAAACGACGAACATCGCATACGATGAAAGGCGGCGACAGAGCGCAGTTCGGAATGGGATAGGGGGCTACTGACAGCTGGAATAGCTTCGATCGCCCGCTAAATTCGCGGCACCGCGAGTTTTATTCGTCGTACGTTTCACTTTACCTTGTCGCTTTTATTCCCGCATTATTTACGCCGGTCCG